CTCCATTTTTTAAAAGTCCACTTTAAAAAGTTTCAGCTTATTTGTCAGGTTAGATACCTCGTTGGACTGTGAATGCTATTTTTTCTCAATGACTTACAGCAGCGTTTTAATTCCCCATTATAATATTTGCGCCAAGTAGACTTTTTATTTTTTAAATCAAAGTCTAAACTTTGTGAATGGTTCATTGATGCTCTCCAGCCCATTTTAAGAGAAGTCCAGGTTTGTGACTTTGATCAGAGGCTCACACTGGGAATGGAATAACTCCAGACAATGTGAAACAAGTCTAAAACTCATCCACTCAGTTGATTGTTCTTTAGGGAGATTGTTGTGTTTATTTCGTGCAATATGTCAGCTTTTTCTTTCTGTTTTAGTTTTAAATCTCGTTCTTTGGCTCTGTTCATCTTGGCTGCACTTTTCTCTCACTTGCAAATGTTTGGCAGTAAAAGTCTGGAAATATTTCTCTTTCGTGAAGCGTTTGGCTTCTATTTGCAATCCACACTGAAACTGTGATGAGTTAGTGATTAGGGAGACACTGAACCAGTGCACCTGTTCACTTCAAGCTGTCCGCTGAGACTTGAGTGCATGCTGCAAAACAGCTCTTCCCAAATAGGCTAATGAAATTTCCACCCTTGGGTGCATCTTCTGTAGCTGGCCCAATTAATGGGCCTCCTCTGACTGATTAGGTGCTGCTACACACACTGGCATTGAAAATACAGATAATTTTTTCCCCTGTTGTTTGAGTCAGATTAATATTTCTTGAGAGGAAAGTAATCCCAGTTTTCTCCAGCGTGTGGTTCTTAAGTAAAATAACGTGAAGCACATTGCTGTTTATTATCTGATTATTCTAGTCACTAAACAATTTGGTGCAAATTGCACAGAGGGTTTCTGCCACACTTGCTTTTCAGGCTAAGAAACCGAGTGCCTGCTGACTAAACCTCAGCTGATTAGAGTTCATGCAGATGTCAGCGTTGCTATTCTGTAAGGAATTTGAGGGAAAGGCATGACCGGTCACATGCAATGCCCTAATAGCCATGAGCGCGATAGGGAAGTGAACTGCACAGTGCCCGTTAGGTTTCGTTGTCTATCCGATTACTTATCAAGATGTAGAAGAAAAAACATTAGAAAGCAAATTCTATCTGCTCAAGTTTATCAACACAACCTTCTTCTCCCTTATTTGGCAGTCAAATCATCGCTCTCCCTGTTTACTTCCCTGAGTACAGAGCTGAACCAGAACGTAATAGTTTGGTCTTATCTTCCTTTTTCATACAGTCTGGCTTTAAATACGTACCTCTAAGTGAACCACATAAATGTCAGCCAATAAAAACAAAAGTTTTTCGTAAATACGACAAAGGAAGAGGCGAAGTATATTTTATGCACAATGACATGGAAGTTTATTCCTTTTTAAAGTCTTAGTTAGGAAATGTTGTGCATCTCATTTTAGGCTAGGTTTGCATAAATACAGGTAGCAGCGGTTGGGTATCACTGTAACATAATCCTGCGTAGTATGGCTTCAGCTACTGACTTTTTTT